GACTAAACAGAACAGTTCTAGCGTAGAAATAAAATGAAACGCAGCTTAGAAATAATAAATTGACTGGAATAACTCTGTTTAATTAGGAATGTCTTGATCTGCTTTTAAATGAGTTCAAACTGGGGCTGGACCATAATTCATCTCAATATTTTGCATCTATTTATAGACGCAGGGATTAAAGTATTCTGGCCCCAGGCCAGATTTCTGGCTCGTAGCGATTGCCCATGGGTTAAAAAAAAAAAAAAAAAAACTTAAATAAATTGATGGTAAGCCAATGGTAGCAAAGGAGCGCTCTGAAACTAACAGTATTAACCAATCAGAAGAAGAAGGGGGCGTGTCTTGGGAAAGCGTGTACCTCCACCTCTGGTTTCTTGCTCAGGTCGCCAGATTGTGGTTCAGTGCTACACAGAAACCCACCCTGCGCCGTTTACGGCTCCATTCAACAGAGAGACGGGTAAAAAGTCAAAAACTAAATAAATGAAACTTTGTGTTTAGCGAGAAGGACGATGGAGAGAACAGAATGGCATGGAGTGGGAACAATGGAGTTCTTGATCACAGAGGAAGATGTCATGACCGTAGATTAAGGCTTAAAAAAAAATGGTGAGATGGCATTCCATTTAGCAGCTGTTGAAGGAACCAGGCGCTAGCTTCTGCACGCTGGGCTCCAGAAAGCTTATTTATACATCCAGCGGCAAAACGGTGCTATACTGGGCGTGCAGGTGGTTAGTGCACACGACCCATGTCGTGTGCACTAACCACCTCTCTCATCCCCCCTTTCCTCTATTCCTACTGTCAGAAAACACGAGCCACTCAAACAAAGTGGAGTGTGTATGACGTCATCCGCGCGCCGGACTGTAGTAGTGACGGGCAGCCCGGGCCACAGGAGGCTACGCTCTACCCCTTCTATTCATTCTAGCTCATCTGAATCGTTCATCTGGAGAGCGAGATCATCTGTGGTAGCAGCACTAGACATCTTCCAGGCATGAGAGGAAAACTAGCAGCAGTTCAGCGGACAGGATGAATGAACAGTAGCCGGCGCACGCGGATGATGTCATCCACACTCCGGTTTCTTTTTAAAAGATATGAATATAAAAAATCTAACGGCGGATGTCTGGGGGACAGTGATTGGCCTCCATGTTCTGAATGCTGGCGTTCCATAAAGCATAAATGATGAACAGTTTAGTTTGTGCCTTCAAGTCGTTGCCCATAGGAAGACGTTACTGGATATAACCTAACGGAATATCTTCAGAACGGCTCCAAATGACACTAAACTCATATGGGAGAGTAGAACATGATGGAATAACGGAAAATCAAGGAACCAATGGAAAAAAAAAACTGTTCCCCTTTAAGGACTGAAGTCAGACTGGTGGTCCTGCTTGTTCCCAGTGTGATGGGAGCATTGGTTTCTAGTCTGCCTGACCTTTAATGTGCTGCATCTTCTCCGCTCTAGGCCTCGGTTCTGCTCTGAAGCAGATCTTTGGTCCAGCTGGGAAGCACCAGATGACTTGTTTCAGGAGTGAACTTCTATGACCAGTTTTTCTCTGTGAACTCTCTGTTTTCCGTACTTCTATGAAGTGTTAAATATAACCACGCTGTGCAGAGAGGATATCACCACGGTAACCTAGGAAACGGATAACATTTCATCACTTCTTGACAGGCTGCGGTCCCTACTGTAACCCGTAGTTGTTTAACATTTGATGGTTCTGGTTAAACACCTTTCTGTGGATTGACCTCATTGAAATGAACCTCAGAGAGTTTCTGATCTTTGCCTCCTTAAAGTTCGTTGGTCTCTCTCTCCCGTTCTTTGTCTTTATCTTCATTCACATCGTCCCGCAGCTCCTTTGCTTTCCCCACACGTACCCAGGCCCTGATCAGCACCCCCCCTCCATCTTGTTTCCATTTATCTCTGCCCCTTATCAGCATTTATCCCCCTCCACTCCTCCACCCGCTGACGCCTGTTCTGCCTCACGCTCCCAGAGCGCTGTACTTCTCCTCGCTCCCTTCCTCCCTGCTCGCTCCGCCTATCTTTAAAACCATTCAGTGAGTCACTGTTGACTCCACGTGCTCTGATCTTTTTTTTTTTCTCCGCCGCCCCGCCTACTCATCTACCGACCAATGAGCCGGCTGCTTGTGAGTCACTTTTTATTTTATTTGCAATGTGGAATAAAACTCTCTGGGGGGGGGGGGCTTAAACTTCTATAAGTTTCTAATCTAATCGGTTATAACTCTCCTGCCTTTGAGCCTCAGTCTGAATCGACTATTTTAATAAATATGAGCATTGAGAAATAAAAATCTTCATTAGCACCGGCATCAAGCTCCCTCTCGCTTTTTTTGTTATGTTTTACCAGATTAATGATCAGTCAGAATGAAAATCTGTCTGGACATTCCTTTGAAAAACAGATTTTATTAAAATAGTTTTTAAAATGTTTCTAAAAAGACCCGACTTATTCAATTCAGTTTATTTATATAGCGCCAAATTCACAACACATGTCATCTCAAGGCACTTTCCAGTTCACCAGATCATCCAGTCAGATTGATTCAAAGTTTTCTATCTAAGGAAAACCAGCTGATTGCATCGACTCATTGACTCTTCAGCAATCCCTCACACTAAGCATGCTTGTAGCGACAGTGGAGAGGAAAAACTCCCTTGAACAGGAAGAAACCTCCAGCAGAACCAGGCTCAGTGTGAGCGGCCATCTGCTGAGGCCCACTGGGGTTCAAGGAGACAGAAGCAGACATAGAAAAAGAAGCATAGATACAAAAGGCAACTGTCAACCAGCTCCACAGGCGGCCCCGTCCAGGAAACACCCAATCAGCATTTGACTTCCTTCCCTTTGGCAAATAAAGCTGGTCTAACCCCTCGCTGGCAGCTGCGTGACCTCTGACCCCCAGTAGATGCATGTCTCCAGTCACCAGAAATCAGGAGAGTAAACAATGGAGAGCAACATGGAAGGAATCCAGGGCGTAGTCGGTGTGCTTTATTGGTTCTCTCTATTATCTGTCTGAATCCCTCTGACCAGAGCTGCTCCATGTTTATCCAATGTGAACAGAGTTGCTCCTGCTTGTTAGATCAGAAGTGACTGTGTTGAGGTGCGTACGTTGCGTTCAATGGTATCACGTTCCCACAGCATGTCGATCAGAGCTGAGGAGATTTTAACGCGGGTCGCCTGCCGAGTCGTTTGACCCGGGTTGAGGCGTGTCAGTGAGCTGTTCCCACTGCCACTAAAAGCCCGTTGTTCCCGGGTTTAAACAAGCCAGAGGGGAAGGGGTGTTAGTTAGCTGGTTGATTAGCTTTCTGTCAACTGTAAGTGTCACTTAGGGTTAACTTTGAAATACTTTTCATTGTTTTTCTTAATAATAATTTATGTTTCTGTAGATTAGTCATGAGGACCCAGTTTAGATCTCAGATTAATGGATGTATTTAATAATTATTGAACTTTATTCATCCAGCAATGGAGAAATTACCCTCTGCATTTAACCCATCCCCTTGGGGAGCAGTGGGCTGCCACCGTGGGGTGCCCAGGGAGCAGCAAGGGTCTTGTTCAGAGACCCAGAGTGGCAGTGGGGCTCAATCTCAGAACCTCAGGATTCCAAGCTCTATGCCCTGAGCACTTAGCCTGGGTGCCATTCCGAACTTAGTCCCGCCCACAAAGTTTGAGGTCGGGAAGTTCGGTCTGGCTCTGCTTATACGATGATGGACAGATGACCAACAGTAACGTAATCAACCACGTCACCAAAGCGCGCTTGGGTGACAACAACAATGGCTGCCGCTGGAGAGTTGAGGCGTGTAGATTCTGCTATTAGGTCTGTTCTAGAAGATATAGACAGCAAATTAATTTTAAAAGAGGAACAGAGAAACGCCATCAAGGCTCATCTTCTTATTCTAGGCGTGCAACTGCACGCTTTGATTTTTGTTGACAACCACTATGCGTCGCTTAACATACGTCACGCACTCCGTCGCTCTTATTGGTTGTAGGTCTATCCAATTGAGTGCAGAGGCATTTTTTTTCCTGTTCGTTCGAAACACGCCCCATAATCACAGCTCTATGGAGCAGCATCAGACTCATTCTGACTAGAATTGAGTCGGACTACGTCAGGCTACTGACCACTAGGTGCCACTCCCATGTTATTGCGTGCTATAGTTGGAGATTTGGAGGTTTTAGTCGCCCTCTCTTCCTATTTTAGTGGCAGAATTGTAGGTAGAAAATGTATTGTTTGTAATATCTCTACTAGTTATGCATAAATTAAGTTTTCGAGCTGTAGTATGGTAAATGGTGAATGTCCTGTACTTATATAGTGTCTTTATTCAAGTGAGGAGACTTGACCATAGCGCTTTACACTACATTCATTCACCCATTCACTCACACACTGATGAGAATGTGGGTGGTTGTAATAAAACACTATGAGAATTAAGATCTGTGCTGCAGATATCTAAGTGTTACTCATTCACTGGGGAAAGGAGATATTCAGCAGGGATGCCTGCTGAATATCTCACTGGGAAAGTAGTTTACCGCAGTAAACATGAAGCGTTTGACCACAGCAGAGAGTGATTGTTTGGAGACAATTGTTCAGTAATGATATGTCGGCTGCTTGCCATGAAAAGTGTTTATCGGATATTGGTTTTTAAATTGCTGCTCAGGCTTTGACAGAAATGTTAACAATATGCTGCAAGTATCCATTTCTGAATCTCACATCTGAGACCCGATGTCTCTTGAAACCTTGTTTGTTTTTCCCTAAAGGCAGCTTGTCCACCTTTGGACTCAATGGAAGCCAAGTGACACTCAGATAATGTCTCAGTTCACCTCGTTCATGTTTTCAGCTACTCATCCTGGTGAATAAATTAAAACCAGAGCTTATTTTCTCTAATGCGTGTGGTTTCACCAAGGCTGCTCCTCTGTGTGCTTGTTTGTGTTTTATTAAAACCCCCCGCATCTCATTATTAAACACCCTGTTTAAGCTCCTTCTCACAGATGAGTCGCTTCACTCTGTATGCGTGTTAGCAGGAGGAAGTGGAGGCAGAGAACCGAAGGAACACCAAAACCAAACTCACGCCGAAGCGGACCCCACAGAAAGAAGAGGTTAGAAAAACTCCCTGATTGTTCAAACGTTCAGCCAGACGAACCGCTGACCCGTTTGTCTGTTTCTCAGAGCTCCTCCCCGGCGCATCGCCATGACTCCAAGACCACCGTCCGCAGCAGGAAGGACGGGACGCTGCAGAAGATTGGAGACTTCCTGCAGAGCTCCCCAACACTGCTGGGCTCTAAAGGTCAGATCTGTGTGACATTTCAGAGAGATGAAGCAAATAATCTGAGGAAACAGGACCAGAACAAAGGAACAAGCTTTAATTCATAGGTTGTTTTCCATCATAATGAAACTGCAATCAAATCTGTTCCAGTAGCTTTCCCCTGAAATTTGCTCCAGAACCAGTTCTCCACTTGTTCTTAGACAATGTTTGGACAATTTATGATGATGGCAGACATGTAGCCTGATAAACCAGACGAAATCTGAGATTAAATGTCTAATCTAGTCTGGCCCCGATGAATGAGACATCAGAAGATTGTTGATGAGAACAACCTGTTGTTTTTCAAACCATGTCTATTGACCAACGCTCTGACTAATGAGCGCAGCTGACTGTGATGTAGGAAGCGCGACAGGAAGCCGGTGGGGGGGTGGAAACAAACAGCCTGTTGGTAAAACGGCGAATACGTCCTTCTCAAAAATGAACGAGCGTAGAGCCTCTTCCTGCTCACGTTTCAATAAAAAAACCCGAGTCTGATCCTTCCAAACTGATTCCACAGCTGAGTCAAAAACCTCCATCAGAGCCAGCGGTCCTTCACACATGGCTATGCCGAGAGAGGGCTGCTGCAGACGGGCTGACGTTAGCCTCAGAGGTCTGCTTGGTTGCCACAGTTCTCTCAACTTCGGAAATTGTTTATTTTATTACGCATAGTGACGCTTTGAAGTATAATATTCTCGCCTCAAATTATCTTAAAACTACTTTTATTGAACAACAGCAACAGAAAAGAGAACTTTTAGCTTTCAATGGAGCGCTCCATTAAAGCTGCTGCTGCCGCAGTGCATCATGCTACTGTTGTGCTTCTCCAGCGTCGCACGGCTTTGTCGTCACGCCCACAAAGCCCCACCCACTGCACTCAAAACACATCTCTGCGTTGTGATTGGCCCACCAGTTGTAGGCCTGGGGCATCGATCGAGGGTAGACTAAACCCGCTGGTGGGTGGAGCTAGTTTACCAGGCTAGCAGATATGCAGAAAGCTGCTGTGCATTGAAGGGAAACCAGTTCATCATTTCACTTTTAAGGAGTCGCTACAATGACTTGCAGTTGCAACACATCATCACTGGGGGCGCTGTTACGTCCTTAAGGTTACAACATATTTGAAGACACATGGGCAAAACTAAGGGTTCAAAATTATTTATTTAGATTTTTTATTTTTTTTTTTTATTCTCTTGAACTTTATTTTTGTTTCAGCTGTGGGGAAAAAAGAGAGATAATTAAATATCCTCAGCTTCCCATAAAAAAAAACAACCCAAAGTATTACAGAAAGTTGGACCTGATGAGCCGATCACAAAACACAGATCGGTACAGCAGGAGGCTAACCCGATACAGGGACGTCAAAGCGCTGACTAGTACCGGACTATAAGAAAAAATAAAGAATTGAAAACAGGACGACCGGTCCCACCAGGCCAAAATCACAACGGAAACAGCAACCAAACAAAACCTAACAAAGATACAGCATGGCAGGATGGAGACGTCAGCGGCGGCCTACAGCTACTGGAGACGCACACATTTTCAGGACGCATCCTTGATGGTGGAGATGGACAAGCGAGGAGAAGGCCCCCCTGTTTATAGGCCGTCCATCAGCCACAAATTAATGAGCCTAAATTAATTACAAAAAGGAAATATCTAAACCCCAAAATATACTAAACAAAAATAATCATTCAGCTAAAGTCAATATTAAACAATCTAAAAAAAATAATTATGTGCCAAAAGCTCATAATGTGCGCTATGAAACAAACCTGTCCAATCTGAACAGGAAGCAGATAAAGATAGGAAAACGTTGAAATGCTGTGACTGCTGTGTTTACACGGACTCACCATGAGGATTAAAAGTTTCCACATTACATCTTTAAAGGTCGTGTCAGACCTGACCTGTGGTTTGCTGGACCGTCATTGTAAGGAAGCTGCAGGGAGGTTTGTTCTCCTTGCTTTTTTGGTCCTCCTCAGATGTTAGATTAACTTTGGCCCCTCCTCAGAGCTCCAACAATTTCCAGAGTTTTAAACTGGACCTCAGAAAATGCTGACTGGATCCTGAGCTGCATTAAAACCACCTTTAAAAACAAAGTGGTTCCTCTAGCCCGATAAGGCTTGGTGCTAAGCTATCACCAGTTCAGCACCGGATGACATAAATCTGAGTATCATCTGCATAAAGGGAGAGCAGGAAAACGCTTTAAACCAAAACAACCATCAATGCTTATCAGTGTTTGCTTTTACAGTCTATCTGCCTTATTTCTTCCTTTTGGTTTAAATGTTTATCAGTTTCTTATTTTTCTTAAGCTACTGCTTCATGCTAAGTTAATAGTTTCAAATGTTTCTGCAGCCAAGAAGATGATGAGCCTGGTCAGCGGTCGCCTAGATGCAGATTCAGCAGCTTCCTCTTCCTCCCACAGTCTGAGGGCAAAGAGGAGCAGAAAGAAACTCTACAGGCCAGAAATCTCCTGCCCCATGGAAATGCCCCCCCATCCAGTAAGTGCCCCTCCCATGCAGCCTTAAAGCAGAGCATGGGCCAAGTTCAAGTGTGAAACGATTTAGATCAGAACGAGTCTCTGTCAGGGTTTGTTTTTTTGCACATTTCATTTTTCAAAGAGTTGAAGTGTTTTATCCCTGTCATGTTCAGCATTATGGCAACAGAACTGGAGTCTGAGTGCCGTGCTCCGTCCAACGCCTTCGCTTTGCCAGGGGAGGCCTGGCAGGAGGAAAAACCTCCCTTGATCATCCAATACTGCTTTATTGTTTAAGATTTATTTTTATTACAGAAGATTAGTAATGTCAAACATAGGGAAGAGGATTAGGGCCACTGGAAAAAAAAAAGGTTAACTGATTTTTTTATTTTATTTCAGTTTATTATGGGAAAAAAGTCAGAATTCTGACTTTAATCTCAGAATTCTGATTTATGGATCTAATCCCTGTAGAGATCAGGCAGGTAGAGTCATAACCATGAGAGGAAAGCTTCTGCAGGAACTCTGCAGCTCAGAGTTTGTGTCTGTGAGATGCAGCAGCAGGGAGCTCTGCTTCCTGTAGCCTGACTGGACCTGAATGAGTCCATTTAAACCAGAACCTCCCTCCACTCCTCACCATGAGCTGTCTGTGCTTTCAGATGATCAACCAGGAGAGGGACGACAGCGAGAGCGACGATCAGATCATCAAACGGCGCCTGCGCTCCAGAGTGGCTAAATGCTAACGCTGATCCGCTGCGTTTCTGTAATACTGTTTCAATGAAGCTGCTTATGATTATTTAGCACATTTTCTTTCTTTAATCACTTTAAAAGCTGAACATTAGATCCTCAGTGGGAGAATCTCCATAAATAAGATCAACACTAAAAACCTCCTGCTGGACGTTTGGTTTCAGTCTTAGATGCTAATGATTTTATTCCACCAAGTATTTACGTTTATTTTTCTTTACTTTGGATCAAAAAGCTCCGCCTTCATGAAGCACTAGCACTCATTCTGCTTATATATGAGGTGCAATCATTATGATTATTTAACCTTTCCTTCCTAGAGAGCTGCTATAAAGTTCCACTTTTTCCAGAACTATTAGTTCTAACATAGTTTGATCTTTGTGGACCAACATCATCGTTTGCTTCGCAGACCCCTGAGGTTCTGACTTATGTTCTGAGAAACGTTTCATTCCTTTTTTCACCACAGTCCTCTAGAGCAGGTGGAGCTGCGGTTTCATCCCCGTCAGAACTCTATTGGACCTTCCTGTAGAGCTTCCCTCAGATCACGAGAAAACATTTTGGTTCTAAACCGGGTCAGAACCAAGGAGTTCTGAGCTACAGGTTTCTGTGCCGTCAGGAGGTCGGCCCGGTTTCATCCAGAACCTTTTATTGGTCTGAGCCGAGCCAGCTGCACTCCATGACCCAGCTTTAAGCCGACGCCCACAGCTGGGTCTGCTGCTATCAGAACACGTTTCACCATCAGTGTAAGCTGCTGGTTGCTCTACAAAATAAAAGCTGAATATTTCTGAAATAAAAGTTTGTTTGTTTTTTACTTCCTTGACTTGATCTGTTTGGACCTCCTCGACCATGACTCCTGCTCGGTTGGGAATATTTCCGATGGTTCTGACTGGATTACAGCTTTATTTCCTGCTAACTATAAACTCAGAAAAACATGACGCTCCTTCGTGACCTTTGACCCGCTTCTTAAAATAACTGGACCTGTAAGCTGTGAAAGTTCTGTCCCGGTCGGATCCAAAGCTGCTCCTCCATTGAGCAGCTTCTGTGTTTTTATTGAGGAATCGTACATGAAAATTGAAACATCAACAATACTTTTTTATGTTTTTTTGTTTATGTGAACAAAAAACATAAATAAAATTCAAAACTAAACGAAAGTGACATAAATAAACCAGAACGTTCTCACCCCCCCCTATTGCTGAAGCTGTTGCCAGGTTCTGTTGAATGGCTTTAAGTTATTTGCTAATGAGAACCGTATTCGTTCCAGATCAGAGAGCCGGACCAGTTCCTCCAGCCATCATTTAACCAGTGGAACCTCTGGTTTATTCCAGAACATCAACTCCAGCTTTTTCCCTGTGATAAAGGCATAAGATAATAGTTGTCGTTGAGAAAACTGAACGGAAACTCCGAGCACAATCAAAAATGGGTCTAGTAAGAATGAAGAAGAGGGGCTTCTTCAGTATGGCATTTGTCACACAGTGGGGATGTATTAGCGAAAATGCACCTTGCAGTAATGAAGCCTGTGCATGATTTTAAATTGAATCAGACAGTGTCTAGAGTTGGCAGAACACTTGTGAATATTTTCTGGTGCAGCCTTCCAGAGTTAGTCACTTATCTCCATTCCTAATTCCTGCTCCCAGCCTGTTCTGAGGCCTGCATGGACGGCCAGGATCTGGATAAAAACAGATTATAAATCTGGGAGATTAGATGTCCTTCCTCACCACCCAGCTTAAAGAGTTCGTCAGATTCGTTAGGTAATATATTCTCTAGAGTGCGCATGTGTTTTTGACGCATTCAGCAGCTTTTGAACCATTTAGAAGGTTTATCTGTGGGAAGCCAAACGGCGGGTCAGAGGTGGGACAGCGGAGGGACCTGATCGAGATAAAGGCTCCATGTTTGGAGAAGGAATTCAGTCTAACCTCCTAACGGCTTCTCTTAGCCAGATAGAGGAAGTTCTAACTGGATGTTAATGAGAATTCAAACACCTTCGCATCAGTTCCTCTGATGGTAACCTTTAAGGTAGAGCCCATTGTTCTATAATGCTCCTCATCTTCCTGATTAATGGAGCAAAAATCTAAGGATCTCCATTTGTCTCCAACTTCTGGAAACCCCCCCCCCCCAATTGAATTTGGACTGCAGAGATTTAATGACAATATAAGGATGCTGGTGAAGATAAAAAGCAAATCAATCCTCTGGACTTTGTTTCCTCGTCTGAAGACGTTTCTCTTCCATCCAGGAAGCTTTTTCATTCCAAATGTCAGAAATAGCGTTTAGTTCCAGGTTTTATCCAGCAGCCCAACAAAGCCTGGTTTTAGTTTAGAAAACATGCAAATAGAAACGGATGAACGGGTCCCCCCCTTTGGAATGGGGGTCGTTTGGCTTCTTTGTTAGCCTGCAATGCCCCATACCTGTCTATGTCTCTGAAATGAGGTCGTTAGGTGGAATAGTTGTCCTGGCTGAAAAGCAGGGTCTCCTGTTCCCCTGTAAAGGGGTTGGAGCTGCGATGATGGTGGGAGGGGATAAACTCAACTGCTGGAAAGTTTCCCTGCAAACCAAAGCAGAGGAAAGATTAAAGGCTGCTTCTCAGCTTGGTTTTGGCCCCCGCCCCCCCGGTGACGATGCTTTACAGTAAAAACCTTTCCTCCAGCAGGTGGACTCCGCCGTCCCTGTAATTCAGAAAAAAGGTGGAGTCAGAGTAAAAAAAAATATGCAAGCCCAGGAGAAGGAGGGGGTCACTCCAGTGGCTGGAGGTTGGAGGGTATTGCTGGGAGTTGCAGGAAAGTGAGCTGCCATTCAGCTGGCGTTTGACTGGGAAAAGCCATTTTTAACGGCGGCTGTAGATGCCGTCTGTCTTATCAGGAGTAAATATTCAGTCAGAAATCAGAGGAAAACTTTGATTATTTCTGTGCATCTGATCTCCAGAGAACCTGTGGCTCTGAAACTAAAACTAAACGACTGCATGCAAAATGTTTTACTGTGATTTCTTAAAAAAAATAACTTCTATAATTAAAGAACTTGTTTTTGGTTCAGTTTTCTCCTCCTAGTTAAAAAAGAAAACCTTTTCTAGAAGCAGGAGAAACCCAGGGAGTCCAGGAATGATCTGCAGTTCAACAAGTTGAAAGAAAAACTCACCTGTCAGCATCTGTAGAGCGAAATCTGCAGCACTCAGCATCTCTCCAGCAGTTAGATTTAAAGTTCTGTTAATTATCCTCAGTGGTCAATGAGTTCAAGCTGCCGTCTGAAGGCATCATTAGGATAAATATCACAGTGAAAGGAGCAGAGGATGAATGGAGAACAGACGACTACAACAGCGTGATGACGGAGAGCAAAGAACAAATGTGATGAAGATGAGGGAGAGAAAGGATGGCGGCGAAGGTGAGAATTCAGATCAGGCCTCATCCATCTGCAACTGAAGCTTTCTGCTCAGGAAGTGAGAACAGCGAAGAGGAAGGAAGAGCACCGATGCGTTCTGTGAATGATGGAGAGGCTGCCATGATTTTAGCAATCACTTCCCACCCAGCTGGGCTCCTTTGTGCTGTCTGAACAGCTCTGCCTTCTCCTTCACAATCTGCACATGAATGTGAGCACGCAGCATCCATTATTAATTCCCTTCAGTCTAAAAGCTGATGTCCACGAACCAGCGAGTCGCGACAGCAGAGTCATATTTATCCACATGCATCATTTTCAGCAACTGAATGGTTTATAGTTCAGGTCGTTTCGCCTCCAAATCGCTGCAGCTCTTATAGAAACCAATGTTGATGAATAGATGCTGGTTAATCCTGGTTCCACTACTTTCAGTTAAGACTTTTGTGAGAGAGAGAAAATATCTCTGCACACAAATAAAGCACAACATTTCTGGAACAACAGCGTAGATACTTCGGTCTATGCTGTTGTATTATAGCTGCTACCTGTTAAATCATCAGTTTTCTGCAGACCTTTGATGGAACCAGTGTTTATCTGAATCTTAGTCTGAATAAAGCCAGCCTCTGCTGGCCTGTTAGAAACTGATCCAATCTACCTATTATTTGCTCTAATCACTGATATCACACAGTAAAACTTAGCTCCTCTACTCTGCACTGGAAAAAATTTGAACTGTAGATAACTCCGTTTTTAAAAAAAAACAAGTACCTTTGTTCTTGGATAGAGGCGGTAAAAGAGACATTTTGCCAATGGAACGAGATAATTTACACTTAAAATAAGAAAACTCAATGGCATTGTCTTATTTCAAGTGCATATTATCTAATTAACGTATTTTAAAAGTAAAATACTCCAATGTTCCATTGGCGTCATCATCATCTCCTTTACCTACTCAGATTAAGGGTAGATACACTTGATTTAAGACATTTTTCACTTATTTCTAGATCGTTTTTCCAGTGTGACTGAACTCTCCTCTGCATCTACACTGGAAAAACAATCTAGAAATAAGTAAAATTTCCTTAAATTAAGTGTATTTATTCTTAATTTGAGTAGGTGAATGAGATGATTTGCCGATGGAATGAGTATTTTGACACTTAAAATAAGATAATTAGATTAAAATGCACTTGAAATAAGACAAAGCAATTGTATTCTCTTATTTTAAGTGTAAATTGTCTTGTTCCATTAGTAAAGTTTCTCTTTTACCTCCTCAATTCAAGAACAAATGCACTTATTTTAAGAAAGAATGACTTATCTAGATTTATATTTTTTCCAGTGTAGGGCCTTAGTGATCTTGGGGGGGGGGGTTTGTAACACGCTGCACAAAAAAAGAAAGAAAACAGGTCACACACTACATCAGTGCGGCTGGGCAAAGCAAAAACTCCTCATCTGGAGCAAATAAGCTTAAAACCTCAGTGTCCCTCAGAAACCTTTCATCAGGAGAGCAGGACGTGACCCCCCCGGGATGGAAACCGGCTTCATTCAGCTGCAGCAACTGGACAGAACTGAAAGTAATCCACCGGGAGCCTCAGTGTGAGCTGGGGGAATAATGCAGCAGTCAGAACTCATCTGTTCCTCACTTCTTCCAGTTCAGGACCAAAATAAGCATTATTTTCCCATTACAGCTCATGTCCTCGCTCACTTTTATGCTTTCATTTCAATTTCCTCACCGCTGGAGAACAAACACATGCAGCCATTAGTGGGAGCTGATCCAGACATTTAGGGTCAAGCTTGATTTCATCTCGACCTTTCGGGGAAAACAGAAAGCTGCTGAACTTGTGGGCTTTGTTTAGAGAAGCTCTGACGGCAGAAAAGGCCTCGTTGTGTAATTAGCAGCCTCTCAGTCTGAGGTAGGAATAAACAGTTTGCTTTCCAATCAGAAAAGAACACGCCGCCCATGCAGCCCGCGCTGAGAGAGGTACTCCA